GTCATTTTTGTATTAAAAGTGAGGAAACTACTGTGTGTGTTGATAAATTCTAATTCTAAAGATAGTTTTATACTTTCTGCAAAACTGGTGGTGGACCTCAATATGGATTTGTTCAATTCATGAGAAAAATACAGACGATAATTCTTGGTAGAAGAAGCTTAGCTATGAACCCTGGAATTGAGTTTTTCCAGTTGTCTGCTATTCTTGATCTTTAAATACAAACGTATAGTACTTCTGAAATCCATAACTTATTAGATGCAAAAAGATAAAACAGTATTTAAACAACAACCAGCTATAATAAATAGCAACAATCATTTGATAGGAATTACTATCATTTTACCTTAGGATTTTGAAATTAGCACAATTTGTTTAAAAAAAGGGGGGGAAAGAAAAGAAAGCCTTTGTATTTCTACACATAATTTTGTTGCTTAGAAATTAATGTGAGCAGTTAAGTTATACCAACCTAATTTTAGAAAGATAAATTATGAATGTTGGAATGAAAACAAAGCAGAAGAATCAGCCAACACTGGCAACATTATAGAAATTAATTTAAATTTGCATCAAGCCAGGAACATATTGTTTGTAAATGATGAAGCTTTTATGTACTTCTATGCAACTTTAATGAGAAGAAAAAAAATCATACTTACTTGATTAAGCACTGGCTTTGCTAACCATGGAACTAAGACCAAAATAAATCCTTTTAATGGTAGTTTAAAGATACCTGCCTTCAAATAAAATATAGATCTCTTGTACAGCAGAGTAAAATTTTTTAAAAAATCTTAGACCCATTGCTGTTAGTCAGTAGAAAATATTCAAAATGAGTATATTTGTAACTAACACAATTTTAGCAAAGTCCACATATGCCTTACTGTAATACAAACAAAAAAGTAGCCATCACCAGGTGTATTTTTGTTTCCTGTTGCTGATGTAACAAATACCACACATTTAGTGGCTTAAAAATGCAAATTTATTGCCTTTACACTTCTAGAGTTCAGAATTTTAAAATGGGTATTTGTGGACTAAAATCCAGGTGCTTTCAGAGCTTAATTCCTCCTGGAAGTTCTAGGAAAGAATCCCTTTGGGGAAGGGGGGTGGTTGTTTTGTTTGTTTGCTTTTAGAAATAGCTCATATACCTTCACTCTTTCTCTTTGGCCAGAAATCTTGTAGTTCCATCCTTAACTTACATCATCACATCTCTTTTGAACCCTTCTCTCTCTCATTTATAAGAACCTTTGTGATTACATTGGGTCCACTCAGATAATCCAGAGTAATCTCCCCAACATAGGATTCCTCATTTAGTCATATCTACAAATGCCTTCTTTCATGTAACATGACATTTTTATAGGTTCTGGGATTGGGGTTTGACATATTTACAAATTCAGATGATTATGATGTGGACATTATTCTTACTACAGGGTGTTATCTTATTGAGAGTTCACATCCTTAACATATAAATAAGAGCCTTTTTTGTTTCCATGAACTATATTTAGAGGATAGTAAGAAATAAGAAGATACATATTAAAATTTATTTTTAGAGACCAACAACAAACACTGAAAGGTAAGCTTTCCATGGCAGTACCTCCCACATATTTTAATCAATAAGTGAATACATAGAAATTCTGGATACCATAAAATTTTGATTATATGAAACCTTAGGGAATATGTTCTTCAGAGAGGTTATCCCTAACAGTCAAAATTACAACAAAATAAAATAACTGACCTCTCTGGGGAAAGGCTGATATTTATCCTACTGTCAGATCTCCCCTTCCATTTTTATTATTATAGAAATAAATCCCATGGGTAAAAATATAAAGATATAAATGAACATCTGGTTAAAGAGAATTTTTCCCTGCCACTCCTATAGTCTTACTACTCAAAAACAACTAATTATTAATGATCTTAATTTTATTCTTTAGATCATGCTAAATCTGTAAATAACATGTTTATCCTTTATCAACTGTAGATGTTGACTGCAGACCTCTTGCTAGGAATTATTTTACATATACCACCCTGTATTGTGTGTTCTCATGCTATAATCCATTTCTCCCTCAGTCAGCTCTATATACTTAGAACTACATTTCTAGTTCTATCGTAGTGGAAAGTTTATCTTTAGTACACTTGAACCTTTATTCTCTGTTTTAAAACAATAGAGGCAATGTCTTTTGGCTTCTGTTTTCGTAAAGTAAGAATATTTACATGCCCCCCCTTCCATATTTCTCTACCTTGCACTTTCCAGTACCTTAGGGTGTTACTTTTATTTTCATGTTGTCAACATTGCTAGTATTCTTTCTGTGACTTTATAATCTGTATTAAATTATGAGTATCATTCTATAGAGTTACTCTAAATATGGTATATGTTGTCTAATTCTACAAACTGTTCACTATAGGATGGAGTAATGTCTTCAAACTGTTTCCTTCTCTATTCATTTAATATTATAATTGGAGTACCACTGAAAGGAGAATTTTTCTAGAACCAAATTAGATGAGAAAATCAGTCAGATTTGTGTACCAAATCTTCGATTTTTTATATTCTCAGTCATTTCATCTGTTTTCTTATGCTCCTCTCCTTTCTTTCTAGAAAACTCTGTTCCTTCCGGTCTGGAGTAGTTGCCTTCCAGCCCTCTCACACAGCTCTCTTTTAGATATTTCATTTCCTTCGTTTCTATCCTATGTTGGGTTCTTTTTTTTTTTTTTTCTGGATCACATTCCTCCTCTTTCCTGATTTACCTCCTCATTTTGCTGTAGGTAAGATTTCTGAGTTAGCAGATATCCTTGTATTCTTCATATTTATTTGATGAGTTGGCTGCAAATGGAATTCACTTTGAATTGCTTTTTCTCTGGATTTGAAACGTACTCTTCCACTGATACCAATCTTATTCCTGGACCCCTAAATGATCCATTTTAATGGGCATCCATTTTTCTTCCAGAAGCATTTAATATCCTCTTTTTATTCTTGAAGTTTTGAAATGTAAGAATGATATATCATAAATGTGATTGCTTTTTATTCATTACATAGTTAAAGTTTTTTCAGTATTCCACGGGACCCTCTCTTCACTCTGATCTTATCTCACACCACTTCCTAGCTCATCTTGCCCCAGCCACAGATGGCTTCCTCTTTTCATAACCATATTTCAGGTTCTTTTTATTCCTTATTTCTCTGGTGTACAGTGGTCTTCCCTTTTGATATCTGCTTGATCCACTCCCTTACCTCCCAGGTCTTTGTTCAAATGTCACATTCTGAAGGGACACCCTATCTGACTGTCCTCTTTAAAATTGCAATCCCCTCACTATCCAGGCACCCCTAATCCTTTTATCCTGCTCTAATTGTTTACATAATGCCTATTGCTCAATTGCATACTAAATAAAATATAAGATACATATATTTTTGTGTTTGTATATTTATGTGTGAATAAACTTTGTATAAAGTTTGCTTTTATTGCCTTAATGAAGTACTACATTGAGTGACTTAAACAATCACAGTTCTGTAGGCTAGAAGTTTAGACAAAGGTGTTAGCAGAATTAGTTTGAGTTCTTCCTCCATAGCTTCTAGATAGCTTCTTTTCCCTGTGTTTCTACATTTTTCCTCTTGTAACTCTGTATCCAAATTTCCTTTTCTTGTAAAAACACCAGACATATTTGAGTAGAGCCCACCTTAATAACTTGACTTTAACTTAATTAGCTCTGTACAGAACCTGTCTCCAAATACAGTCAAATTCTCAGGTAGAGGGTGTTAGGAATTCAGCCACCTAACATTGTTATATTGTCTCCCTGACATAATCACCAGAACATAACCTTCATGAAGGTAAGTCTATTTTTGTTGTTGTTGAAGTTGTTCTATTTTATTCATTCATCCATACATATTTGACATCCTAGAGCAAAAGCAGCATATAATTGATGCTCAATAAATAATAATGTCCCAGCCTCTTGATAAGTTCTTTCAATCTGAAGAGTTATTTCCTCCTTTTTTTATCTCTGAGAAATTCTCTTATAATTTCATGAACTTTACACCCTTACCCCATATTTCTTATATTGTCTTTCTGGTTCTGTCAGTTTGAATTTGTGACCTACTTGATTGATCCTCTCTATTTTCAGTCTGTTTTTCTTCTAATGGAGCATTTCAACCTTGACTTCCCAATACTTCCACAGAATATTCTCTATTTTAGAAAACATGCATTTAATTTCCAAGGTCTGTCGTCTTGGTCTTTTCTCGTGGCATTCTGTTTTTATTTAATAGGTGCTATACATTTATTGATCTTTCTATATATATTAGGTCTTATTTCTCTTTTGTCCCCTGAATTTTCTGCTTCTTCCTAGGTAACATTTTGTGGTTGTTGTTCTTGTGCTTGCATTCTTTCTTTTACTCATTGGTAAGCATTTCTCATCCTTAATTATCTGGAAACCCTTGGTTATACATTTTTATTTTGTAACAAAACACTGAAAGTATTAGAGGCTTATTTTAATGATGGGACCTTTTTCCTGCTGATAGGCTTTATAGTGAGTTGGCTATTACTCTAGAGGCTCCTTCAAAGTAGAATAAATACATAGTTCTTTGGTTTGGGAGTCAGTACCCCCCAGAGGCTGCCTTAGGTTTTTCCAGATAGTTTATTTCATTTTATGAGATTAAAAACTCTCCAACTTTTTGCTTGATTGCCCGTCTTTGAATATATGGAGTTTGAAATCAATGATTTTTTTATGTACACTTTCAATTAATATCTGTTTTTACTTTTACTTCCATCTACTCAAAGATAAATCAATTTTTCCATGCTTTACCCCTTTCTTCCTACCCCTAAAAGAACAAAACCACCAACTAGTCAATATACTCCTTTGTCCTTTCCATTTTGTTTGATCTGCTTGCCATTTCAAAGAAGCAGACATATTGCTAGAAAACATCTCAAGTTATTACATTCTGAGTCAGAGTATGGTTAGTTCCAAGTATATAATCTTCCCCTAGTTTCCTTTCAATATACCTAACCTGTCTTCTCATTTTTCTTTGCGTGTAGGTCTGCAATTAAAGCCTTACGTCCTGGAGGGGTACTTGTGTACTCGACATGCACACTTTCCAAGGCAGAAAATCAAGATGTGATCAATGAAACTTTAAATTCCTACAGTAACGTCATGCCTGTGGACATTAGGGAAATAGCAAGGACTTGCTCCCAAGACTTCACATTTGCTCCCACTGGCCAGGAATGTGGACTTTTGGTGATCCCAGATAAAGGCAAAGCCTGGGGCCCAATGTATGTAGCCAAATTAAAAAAATCATGGAGTACAGGAAAACGGTGACATGAATTTTGTAAACAATTTTGATGTATAATTATGTTTATGTTTCCACGCTCTCCACATGCAAATATTTAAATGATGATATAACAATTTTCCTTTGGTCTCTTTGGAATCCTATTTATTTAATATTTTAGCATTTAGAATCTAGCCTTGAGAATTTTTCAGGTGTATTTTCTTTTCCTAGAAATATATCTGTAGGAACAATTTAAGGAGATGAAGATGGTGTTTATTCTCTATAATAAATCTGCTGTCTTCTACTTGGCATTTTATAATTAAATTAGAATACATAGTTTTATGTATAAAATGTTTAGAACTACATTCTACCCATGATTTTGGTGCTTTGGACCTTTAAAAATGCATATTTGCCAGCATTCTTACTGTTTCCTCCTTATGAAATGTACAGATTCTTTTTTTCTAAGAACTGATTGGTATTCTGAGACTAACTTCTTAAGCAGTACAATTTCGAGTTCTGAAAAAATAGGTTTCTTATTTGCAAAGTTGTTTTCTGTTAAGGACTATCTTCTGTTTACTACAAAGGTCAGTGACTCAATTGACACCAGCTTTAGCCCTCCCTTCCTTTTTTTTTTGTATTCACAAATACAAATTGAAAGGGTAAATTATGTTGAAAGGCCTTTAGGACAGCAGATTCACATGCACACGTTTGACTTTCGACATTCAGCTTCTAGAATAATGGAGTCTATCCAGCAGGCTATAAAGCAAGTACTTGAAACAAAACCAGGATGATTAATAACTGCAATAACTGAACTATATTTGGAGAGTTTTGTTACATAATTGCAGTCATAATGAGCACTACAGAATCTGATTATCTTACAGTTCCAATCTGGAGGGGCTTTTTATTTCACTCTGTTATAAAATGTTATAGGAGAAAATGATGTCACATATTAATGCACGAGAGGGAGATGCCTAATGAGAGTGGATTGTACTATTACCAAAACCCAATACCATTTACTAAGTGGCTCTCTCTGTTTACATATATCCTGGGAATATTGTGTATGTTTCTTTTTGTGTACTTAAGATTTTAACTTCAATTTTTGCATCATGTGTTTTCTCCAAAAATTACTTCAACGAGTCCAAACATATTTTATTAATTATTAAGAAAAAGTATGAAGCATACTTCTTTTTTTTAACAGAGAGAGAGAGAGAGAGAGAGAGAGAGAATTTTTTTTAATATTTATTTTTTAGTTTTCAACGGACACAACATCTTTGTATGGGGTGCTGAGGATTGAACCCAGGCCGCACACATGCCAGGCGAGCGCGCTACTGCTTGAGCCACATCCCCAGCCAAATGAAGCATACTTCTAAAGATATCTGTTTGGAAATTAGGTTTTTTTTTAAAAAAAAAGAAAAAACTTTGTGGTTGTAGAAATATGAAATTCTGCTGAAGCGGAATACTCTTGTATTGTTCATTGTATTCTATATATTTAAACTAGAGACTATCTGCTCACTACCTACTTTTTATTTTGTAAGCATATGTAGGCAGATTTAAAGAACTGGGAATTCCTATGAGGACTTTTTCTGTATCTTCATTTTATTAACACCTTTTAAAAAATCTAACCAATGTGTTTATAAAATAAAACTAGGTCTCTGAGACCCAGTTAAGTACATTGAATCAGTACCAAAGACTAATGATAATGGAAAAGTTTTTGTGCTTCTTTTGTTTTGTATTATTTTGTTTGTGCCTTTTTTTTTTTCTATTTTAAATCCTGTCTTAAGATCCTATAGATTTCGGTGCTGGGGTTGTAGCTCAGCAGTAGAGCACTCGCCTAGCATATGTTAGGCCTTGGGTTTGATCCTCAGCACCACAGAAAAATAAATAAATTAAATAAAGGTATTGTGTCCAACTACACCTAAAAAATTTTAAATACAAAAAAAAAAAAAGATCCTATGGGTTTAAAAAGTGCATTTCTTTTGTATAGTTTAATTACAAAGTAAATTTTCACAGTACACTTTGTTGAATATCGTTATTTTCCTAGTATAATGCCATGAAAGTTAATTTGAATACTTGATGTGACATTGGATTAGACTCTCCCATGATTACTTTAAAATGTATCTGTATATTTATACACTACATAAATATATATTGCTTTATTTATAATAATGAAACAGCATTTATTGAGCATTGGTTGATTAAATTCTTTATATATATTGTCTTTTTTGGTCTTTAAAACTCCAATAGTGAGTGTTTTGTCCCCACTTTTGTAAATGAGAAAACTAAAGCTCAGTGCTGTTTGTATTTTGCCAAAGTTATGCTGGTAAGAAAAGAGTAGAGCCAAGGCTGGGTGTGGTGGAAGTTTGGGAGGCTGAGGCAATAGGAACATGAGTTCAAAACCAGATTCATGAATTCATCGAGACCCTGTCTCTAAATAAAATATAAAAAATGGCTGAGGATGTGTCTCAATGGTTAAGTGTCCCTGGGTTCAATATCTGTACAAAAAAATAAAAAGAATAGAGCCATATTAAAACACTTTCTGTTGCCCAGCCCCTCCTCCCAGCGCTGTGCTATCTCCTAGAATATGGAATATAGCAAATTTCAGTGTTATCACTTGGCTTTACAAGGATTCCCCATTGTTCAGTTTTCTATTTTTATACAATTACCCATTCCCATGACATTATATGACTTATCAATACTTGCGGGAAAAACCTACCATTGAAATATCTCAGGGTATGTTCTTAAGAAGAGTATCTTGTGATAGTAATACCCAGAAATTTCCCATGGGGATATTTTATGCCCTCCTTTTCTTTGCAGATACCAAATTGAAGAATGGAAATTTGGAGCAACCTTTCAATGTCAGTTGAAAAGCCAGGAGTAACTGATGTACCTTCTCTGGCTTTAAGTTACTTTCAAAATAGTTTTAAAAGTTTAGGTTATTTACCAACATGTTAAGTTCTTTCTTCCCTTAGTGCACTAAACAGCCACTAGTTTCAGAAATAGATAGGAATAAATATAATGCATTCAAATGTTTTGTACTAAATTTTTGAAGGATCAGATGTTATCTGTGGATTGGAATCCAGATGGCCTGTAGTTCTTTATCCTATTATCTGTATCCATGTAGGTTTATATTTAAGGTTACATATTACTTCCTTAGTATTGTGAAAAATATCTTTCATACAGAGTAAGTAGATAGAAAATAATAGCTACCAGAATACTTCCTCCATAACTGAATAATCACAAATCTAATGGATCCTTATAGAAAATCTGCATAGACTAACATAACACATCTGGAATAAAAAGAAAATTAGAACCAATAGCAACAATTTTGTTTGATGCCAAGAAGTCCTTTGATGCAATTGAATGGTACTACTTGCATTACGTGTTTAGGTAATTTGACTTTGGGGACAAATAGAGCAAATAGCACAATTTATTTTCAATCCATTTATATGGTTCAGATCAATAGTTTACAGATTAATCTCCCTTTGTCTGCCTTATTGCTACACTGCGTGGGGGAAGTAAGCATGAAGCCCATTACTGTTGGAGCTATAATCTCACCCAGATCCCATGGGCATCTGAGGAGTATTCAGATGAAAGTTCACAAGTTAACTAATGTATGATGATAATTTACTACTTGTGCTGAAAGCTCTAGTAGCATCTGTCCTGAAAACATTAAAAGTAATGTCAGAATTTGGAGTGGCTTTAGGCTGCAAAGTCAGTAGGAGAAAATCAGAAATACTATATTAACAAAAGAGTTTCTATTAATGTTACTTATTATGTGACATAATAAATTTTAAACTCAAAGAGAATTGATTTGGGATTCTCATTGGGGAATTATTAAACAAGAGAGTAAACAAAACATTTAAAAGTTGACCTATAATTCAGTGCCAAGGCTTTTAAAAAATAAGTTTTTCTAAATTTGAGGAGGAAAAAAGCTTGATAGATAATAAAACTGTTTTAAAATTTAATTTTCTAACTCATATTAACTCCATACCTCTCTTTTTACAAATGAAGATAATAATTTTCCTAGTCATGTGAGGCCATATAGTCTGGGTGAAACCCTGCAAAAGCATGTGCCACCTTAGGGAAAGAACTGTTTGCTTCATTGGAAATTATTTAATGGTATATATCATGACTCAATTAAGCTTGCTATGGCTTGTCAAAAGGAATTTTCCACTGCATATTGTTATGGAAGAGCTTATTACATATAAATAACTGCTACCTAGCAGAATCAACAGAGACTAAAATTGTTCTATTGAGAAAGACCTCAGTGTACAACTTTGCCCTAGATTTTAAAAACAAGTGGGAATAAAATTGCAGATAATAATAAGAATGGAGAAAGTTCAGAGGTCTTAGCAATGGTAAAAGAGAAACAGAAGAAATTAATTTATATGAGCTTAAGATCATTAAATTATCAAAGAGAGTCTTATTCATCCAAACAAGGCATTAACAATCTTTCCAAATGGTACACCTTTTCCTGTCTGGTATTACAATAATCATTGGGGGAAGGGCAAAGAAGAATGAAAGGACTGATTTGGGCTGATCCAGGAGTTGATGTTCCTAGGCAAGATTTTCTGTGGGCTTGTAACTTCTAATTCTCAAGAAGAGGAAAGTGGGGCTGGATGTGGTGGAGACAACTAGCTCTGATGCCCCCTGAAAATGGCTCTGTTTGCTATCTTCAGCCATGAGTAACTAGTATAACTAGCTATATCACATTTTATGTGACAGACATTCCTTTTGGATTGATCATACAAAAGTTAAGTCCAAGATATAGCAAATGTGTTTAATAATAGATGCACAAATCTAACTACCCATGTTCTTTAATAAAAGATTGCTTTGTCAACAAGACAATGGCACATAACTGCAGGTCATCCATTCTGCTCTGAAGGCTGAGGTTGGGAGGATCACTTGAGCCCAGGAGGTTGTGACCAGCCTGGGCAACACAGTAAGACCTGATCTCAAGATAGGTGATAGATAGATAGAAAGATAGATAGATCCATGATCTCAATATAGATGATAGATAGATAGACTCATACAAACACATACACACATATATTTATATGTCATCTTTTTTCTTAGTCATATTTTGCTTAGTCATCTTTTTCATAAATCCTAGGAACAGCTAATATGTGTTATGTCCTCCATATGAAGCCTGTGATGTGTTATTTTGAGCCACCTGGTTAACCTGGCTTGTACAGTTAACTCAGTAGGTTCCTTTTCCATCCCGTGGTATTGAGTTGGCAAAATCAATTTTATGTAATTTTAATAAAGGTGATTATTGAAATAGGAGAAGTTCAAGTGAGATCTAGGAGTTTGTTATTTGGTCCGTCAAGTTGACCAAATTTTCAGGAGCAAGTAACACTAAGGGCAGTAAGGCATGGAGAGTTGTAATGCACTACTATAACAGTGGTCCTCTTTACCTTTTGAATATAGCTCTGAGGCTTATTTTTAAAAAGGGACTTGATTTCCTTTTCCTCTTCTCCCTTTCCCCCTCTCTCTAACCTGGGGGCGGGGAATAAGGTTTCCTGGAGTTATCTGTGCTGCACAGGAAGGAGATGTCTGCCAGGGGATCTAGGAAGTGAATATCTCCCAAATTAACAAGTGAATCCTAACACACCATCTGGGCACCCTGGGACCCTCTGTCAGGGCACACCTGGAATGTTGTCTTTGAATAGCTCCTTTAAAATCCCCCTATTTCTCCTGATGGGCAGAATCACAGCCTCTGGGACAGGAGTCCCTGTGTTTCTCCTTTGCTAGCAAATCAATAATTTTTTTCTCCTTTTTTTAAAACCATGTCCTCATTATTAAGTTGGTATTAATTGGCTTTGGGGACAAGAACCAAGCTTTTGGTTACAGTGAGCACATTACAACTCCCAGTGAAGTTTAGGTGCTAAACTATCTGTTCATATTCCTGCATTCACTGCTGTCTACCTCATCTTCTCCACAGAAGTTCTGCTCCCCTGCGCGCTGAATTTAACATCTCTGTGGAAATCCAAGCCAACATTCTACCTTCCTGGTTCTTTGATTGTATCTCCTTCAGTAGCTTTTTTCTCTGTTAGATCACACTCCTGGGCATTCCTGAGAACCTGCCATATCTTGAACCATACTCTGCATGGACCTTTGTGTAAGATCACATGGACTATTAAATTTTCTTTTCCACTCATCTTCGTACCTGTTGCTTCACATCTCACAATCTGTG